TACCACTGATTTTATCCATTTTCCCATCTCCAGGTATAAATGTAGGTACTGTGACATGTATGTGTATTTATCTTTTGTTGGACATATCTATTGAGCCCTTACACTGTGCCAGGCATTGTACTGAGCACTTAATGTATAGTGGTCATTTAATCCTCACAGCAATCCTGTGAGATAGGCAACATGATTATTATCATCTTATGGATGAGTAATCAGAGACTTAGGAAGATAACTTGCTAAAGGTCACACACCTAACAAGAAGCCCCCCAGGCTTTGAACCCAGGTTTGTCTGGTTCTTGGGTATGTGCTCCTACTACCTTGCATCTGTCTCCAGTAAGCGACAGGCAGCTGAGAGGACACAGGGCAGAGTTGTAGGCTGGCAGCCCTGAGCATGCAGAATTTGAATGGCAGAACTTTAAGGCAAAAGGCCTCTCAACTCCAAAGCTATGGAGTTTAGCTAATATGATTTAGTGGATGAATGTATGATTTAGAAGATGAATGTCTTCTTCCTAGGAGGCTAGAATACCATTCTCTTGCAAACTACAAAATGATAAAGGTATGAAAGAAAGTATAGCAGAAGAACAGTTGTAATTTTCCCAAAGTTTTTCTAGTCAATGAAATTGTTCTTCTAGTAGAGTAACCATAATTTAATTAACCTGTGACAATACAGTATTCTTGGACAATTGGAACACTTGTGAAAAATGCAGGTTTTTGGACCTACCCAAGATCTACTGAAATAGTCAGGAAATTTGCATTTTTAACGACTTTTCACATCATTCTGATATCCGGCTAAGAGTGAGAAACACTGATGTAGTACTTCACCCACTGGCCCCATCTCCCATTCTTGAGAAGATGTTGGTTGATGCTATAATAGGGAGTATATTGGACAGAAAGTATTCTAGTCATTTATTGCTATGAAAAAAATTACCCCAAAAGTTGGTGGCTTAAAACCGTTAAATGTCCAAAAGTAAACATTTATTTAACTCACTAATCTGCAATTTTAACAGAGGTTAGCAGGGAAGGCCCATCTCTGCTCCATGCAGCACCAGTTGGGGCTGGGATGAAGTGGGACTGGGGTGAAGTGGAGTTGAAAGGTCCACTTCCAAAATGACTTGCTCACATGGCTGATAAATTGGGACTTGCTATGGCCTGGGAGCTTAGCTGGGGTCTGAAAACTAAAGACATTAATTTCTCTCCACATAAGCCGCTCCATTGGCTGCTTGGGCTTCCTCACAGCATGGTTGCTGGGTTCCATTAATAAGAGTTCCAAGAGACAGAAAGTGGCAGCTCCCAGTTTCTTAAAGTCCTGAATTGGGAACATACTATGCTGTCAATTCTGTCATATTCCATTGGTCAATCAATCACAGAGCCCAGATTCAAGGAGAAGGCACACAGATGTCTTCTCAATAAGAGAGTTCACATTGCTATAAAGAAATACCTGAGATTGGATAATTTATAAAGAAAAAAGATTTAACTGGGTCACAGTTCCACAGGCTATACAGGAAGCATGATACTGGCATCTACTCGGCCTCTGGGGAGGCCTCAGGAAACTTACAATCAAAGCAGAAGGCGAATGGGAACAGGCACCGTCATGTGGTAGGAGGAGCAAGAGAGAGGGAGTGAAGGTGCCATACACTTTTAAATAACAAGATCTCAGAGAGCTCACTTACTATCATGAGAACAGCACCAAGTAAGCCTTTTTAAAATAAACACTTTTCATTGCACATTAAAATGTTATAAAATACATTTAGAAAAATATTTCTACATAGAACCATAGAACTTCTTTGGAATTCATCTATTATGTAAAGAAAGCCGAACTTATAAATGATACAGTTATATATCCAAGTGGAAATTGAAGAGGATCAGTAAAAATCTTGTTTTTGTTAGCATTATTTTTCTGAGATGTCTGTCTGACTTCTCCCTGGGTTGTGATTCCTCCGGTACACTCAGAAATTCCTCAATAAACAAGGTCAGCACTTCTCCGTGGCTTATTCTTCCTGTCTCCTCTGATCACCCCTCTCTGAAGGAGGGCCCTGCAAACATCCATTGGCAAAAATGAAAATGACTCTGAGCCTATATCATGGTTAGGCCTAGAATCTGTCATGTGGATTCTGCAATCACATCCAAGTTGATCCACCTGCTCTTGGTAGTTTAGGAGGTGCTTCATTTTCATGTCTCACCTTACAGGTGTACATTAGGTCTTGGTAAGAGTTTCTCATCTTGTGTTCCAGGTTTTGGCATGAGGGAGTAACCTCCCGGATCTCCCTGGTTCCTCTAGCATCACAAGGCAGAAGCAGCAGCATCTCTTCCATCTGCTGTAGTGAGGGAATAAAAGGTACTGAGCAAATCCCTCCATCTCTTGTCCATACCCTTCCCTAACTTGAGGATATTTTATGCTCTCTTGGACAGATCTTGGAGAAGAGGCTACTGGAACACCAAAGCAGCTACTCTTTTAGATTCTGAGCAAGCTGCTCCTGACGGAATCCTTGTGCAGGGCAGCCCAAGGGAGGGGATGGCAGCACAACAGAGCCTGTGTCCCAGCAGTGGAGTTAGTCTCCCCTGCCCCCTTCAGAACTCAGGGGGATTTCTGAAATAGACCTAAAACTGCAGCCAAGCTAAATAAGCTGCACAAGGACAGGGATTCGGCCATGGGTGAAGGGATCTCAATACAATGTAACCACTGAAAAACTAAAACAACTCTTACAGCAGAGTTTTCCTATACCTAAACACTGTGGTGATTTGTGGACATTGAATCAGAGATCCTTAGATAGCCATGTGGCCCAATATCCTCATCTTCTTTGCAAAAAACCTAGGACTAGCAAGGTAAAGGTCTTCTTTCAAGAAGACTCAACTAATTGCAGAAAGGGACCCAAGACAGGTATCTTGACTGTGGTGGTTTTAAAATATGATCCCCCAATTCTTCAATACTTGCTATAGTTTGGATCTGTGTCCCTTTCCTAATCTTGTGTCGAATTATAATACCCAATATTGGAGGTGGGGCCTGGTGGGAGTGATTGGATCATGGGGGAAATTTCTCATGAATGGTTTAGCAACATCCCTTTGGTGCTGTTTTCACGTTAGGAAGAATTCTTCCCTGCCTCTTCCAGTTTTTGGTGGCTCCTGACAATTCGTCACCTGCCTTTGTCTTCACACCTCTGTGTCTTCTTCTCTCTGTATAAGAACATTAGTCATTGGATTGAGAGTCATCACATGCTCACCACAGCATTGTTTGTGGCAGCTGGAGATCGGGGCACACTCGAGGTACCCATCACTGCTGGGAATTAATAAGGAAAGTGTGGTTTTAAAGTGGCCATTTATCCCACATCCTGCTTTCTCTGCAGACCCAAGAGGCCTCTCCACCATTAGACATGCCACTAGACCAAGACTTCAAAATGCCTCAGTACTTGATATCTTGAAGAATAAGTTCCATCATCAGCTTAGCTCAGCCCATCCCTCGAGGCTTACACTCTTCTATTGTTTCCAGGCTCCTTTTTAGGGAAGAGGCAGTGTTCAATCTATCTTTGTTTTCCTTCAGGTCTCAGCTCAGTGCTCTACACTCAAACATCATTAAATGCATGCTAAATCTATTAAGTCTATAATACTATTACCTGGAATGTATTTGTTAACTCTATATAAGATATATTGAGATCACTTGAGATCAAAATAAATGTTTATTTCTTAAGAAAATAATCTATTTTTAGAAAGTAAATATAATTTAACTTAGTTGTCCTGCATAAATAGGAAATCTGATTATTCTTTGATTTTACTTTTCCTTTTTAAAATTTAATTCACAGAGAGATGACCAATTATGAATGACCCCACAGCTTAATAACATATCTGTTAATGTTCTTTGTTAAAAAAAAAAAAAAAAGCCCGTGAATTAAATTAAGTATTAACGGGGTTTGAATTGATTTGAGGAACTGAAACAAATAGATATTTTACCCTGTTGTGATCTAGTTCTAGATACTTTTCTTGCAGGCCACCTCCAGGTTTGGAAATAAAGGGGAACCCTGTTTCTGCATCTTCAAAATCTATTTCTCTTGGGCCACATAATGGTATTAGACACTTGGTTATACGCAATTAATAACGAACGCAACAGCCAAAATGTTGACCATGATTGGTGCATGTAATTCATTCATTCATTCATCTGTTTGCCCATTCAACAAGCATTTACAGTTTCCTACTCTGTCAGACATTGCACTATGTCCTAGGATTTAGAGACAAAATGGAAATAGTCTCTGTTACCAAGGAGCTGCCAGAATGGTAAAGAGAGGAGGGTACGTAAACAAATACAGTATTACTGGAGTAGTAGTAGGGTGTGTGCAGAAAACAATGGGGACACAACATAGCAGATCCACCTGGGAAGAGCCAGGAAAGTCTTTGTGGTGAAGGTGACTCTTACGTTAATGTAGGGCTTAAAGAACATCTAGGCAAAGGAATTCAATAGGAGAGTGGACTTTAAGATTTGGAGAGCAGAAGAGAAATTGATCCTGGTAATACTAGCCTGGGGGTCATTAGCTTTTAGGTAGTTGTGTTAAGCTGGGTGAGTGGCTAAGATCCCGCTGCTGGCACCACAGGTAGCATAAGAGGCCCAGGGTAGAAGAGAGCTGGTGTGAATTCTACCCAATGAAGTTGACCAGGGAAGGACCTGTTGGAACTGTGGGCCAGTCCTGGAGGCTGAGACCCTCGTAGGAAGCTAACCTTAATAATTTAAGAACACAGACAGATCTGAGTCCTAATATAAGCCTTGTGGCCTTGAAAGATTGCTTAAACTTTGTCTCAGTTTCTATACCCACAGAATGAAAGTATTAATAGTACACACTGCAGGGTTATTAGAAGAATTAAATGAGATAATGCTTATAAAGGAGGGTCTGGTATACAGAAAGCAATCATTGCATAGTACCTATTGTTATCATTTTATAATTAAAATGAATGTGAAAATTGGGAAACAAATTTTAACCCTTTAACTACCAGATTGTAACATAAGTATTTGTTTGTTCCAGAAATATTTATTGAGCACCGGTGATGTTCCAGGCGTGGTTTTTGGTGCTAGCAGGAGAGAAAACAATACCTGTGGCCTAAAGAGCTCAACCTGACCTGAAGAACTCAAGGGAATCTTGAACTTGAGTGGGGCAGAAAATGCATTTTCCTTTTCACTAAACTTGCAAAAATATAGCATTTTCTTCAATTATGAATTTAGGCAACAAACCACACTAGTATTAGCAGTGCCTGTGGCTTTGTTATTAATAAAAATAAGTCTTTTCATATCACATTATAGTTCTTTTGTAGGTCTAGAAATATTTATTGGAAATAGCATTACCTTAAAAGTAGAAATTGGGAGGCCACTTTTAGATTCTGTTATTTTATGTATTAACAAATAAGCATATGTAATCCTTGTATCATAATTTTGAGGTTTCTTTTACATTTTGATAGCCATATTTCAATATAGTTGGTTTGTTTTGTGATACTATGTGTTCTCTCTTATGTATTTATAAAACCTCACTCTGAAAAGGGATGATCTGTAGACCCCTAGACTATTGATGGGGTCATGGAACACAAAAAGGTTAAGAATATCTGACGTCTATTCAATTCTGGGAGAGACAGATAAAAAGCAAATCCCATGAATAGATAATGGAATATCAAATAGTGAGTGATGAGTGCTGTGAAGACCAAAAGGCAGGGAACAGATCAGATTGTGGAGGGCTGATTTAAAGAGCGAAATCAGAGAAGGCTTCTCTGAGGAGGTGACTTTCACACACAGACCTGCAGGAAGCCAGGGAGGGAGTCGTGTGTGTATATGTGGGTGCGGAGAGGGCTCTGAGCTCAGGGAAGAGCAGGGGTGAAGGCTCTGAGGGTGCTTGGTGCGTGTCTGGGTTGGAGAGGGTGAGGCTGACGGATGAGAGCTATGGGCCCAGTAGATCCTGAGGCCTGGGAGACTTTGGATCTCTGTCTTATGCATTCACGAGTCCCCAGAACCTGGCCAAGTGGGAGCACAAAGTAGACACCCAGCGAATTAGGCATTCAAGGAAACAAATTCCCCTCCCAGGCAATTTTTTTGGGTTAATTGCCAAGGAAAAAGTCAAGTGGCAGCAACTAGGTGAGGGACCTAATACAGAAGTCAGCAGAAAGAGCAGACTTGCCCTGAACATGGTCTCAGGACTGCGGCCAAGGAGAGATGCAAGAATGGGCTGCTCCCCGGGATGTTGGGTAGAACTCAGGATGCAGGCTTCTTTCCTGTCTTGTGATCTAATAAAATAACTAACACTGCTTTCTGTTTTCTCCCACCATGCAATAACTCTGCACCCTCCACTCCTATCACAATCTCACCTGCCGGAGACAGTTAGTCAGAAGTCGCAGAGCATCGGGCAGGCAGCAAGTGAGCATTCGCAGTCCCAACTGAGAGATGTTGAGCCCTTATCTCATGCCAGGCAGTTTTCTGAGAGCTTGACTCATTTAATTCTTACCAAAAAACTTTCTGAGGTAGGGGATGTTATTATCCCCACTTCATAAATGGGAAAACTGAGGCCCAGAAAGGTTAAAGGGCAGCCGTAGCACATAGAACCTTAGTCAGCAGCCGAGCTGAGAGTGGGCTCCAAGTGTCCTGACCCCAGAGGCTCCACAGCCGTCCTTGTAACCCCCACGCCAAACTGGTTATGGATAGTGACTGTGCCAGACACCAAAGGGACCACACAACCAATGCCAGAGGGACCTGGGCTAGGCTGCCAGCAATGCTTAGGAAGAGCTCCAGCCAGACAACCTTCAGTTCCCTCCTGTCCACCCCCCTCCTCCACTTGCCGCTAGCATGACATGAGAAACCAGAATTATAGGTAGACAGAATAAGGTTCCAAATGGCAAGAAATATAGCTGCCTGGGGAGTAGCTGGCTTAACTGAAGCCTGCTGATTGATTTGTTGATATCGTGAGGATTGTTAAGAAGGTTCTGGAATGCAGACTCTGGCAGACCTGATCAAAACCACATCTCCTTTTGTCATGGGTACAACGGGCAGCATTAACTTGGGCACCACTCAACTCTCACTCTGGAAGGACCATGGGGGTGAGGATTCCTGGCCACCAGTCAGAGTCGTGCAGCCAGATCTCCTATCACTCCTGTCCTTCAAAGGAGAGCAGTTAGATTCAAAAGAGGTAGAAGGAATTGTCCAGGATGACACAAATCAGGTCACCGAAGAGGGCCTCCAAATCCTAATAGTCGTATTGGCTTGGAGACCTCTAATCCTCGGAGATGGATCCTCCAGTCCACCTCAACCCAGCAGGGTTTTCTTGCACACAGTGGTAAACGTTGCCTGCTCTCCCAGGCTCTGAAATGGGAGTGTGTGGAGTAGGCTCAGAGAAGGAGAGAAGGAGAAGAACATGGATCTTCAGTAACTTTCTGGAGATGTTCTGGGGGTGTGAGCCAGCATCTAAGATATGCAGGTCGACACTTCCAAAGCAATAGAGATCTCCATTCAGGAGAAGGATCTCTCCAGCAAGGATGCCTGGAGGACCTCCCTGGGGCTTGGATGGGACAGCTCTCCAACTCCAGTGATAGGCTTTTCTAGAGAAAATGGCACAGTGACAGAGCTGAGGGACCCAGGGGCCTTTCAAGGCAGTGGAAACCTTTCCTCGCATGTGCCTGAGGCTGTGAAAGAGCAATTCCTTGGCCCAGAGAGTCTTTGTAGTGCCAGATCAGTGGGGCAAGAGTGAAGGCCTCACACAGCCTGGGGAGCTCAGCCTGAAGATGGGCCCTCCCCATTCCCAGATTTTCCTTACAGATCTCCTTCAAAAATCTGAATTCCTGCCTCCATGGCCACCAGTTCACTGTTGAAGTGTGTGCTCTTCATGGTAAGGACACGGAGAAGGAGGTTAGGCTGGGGCCACAAGTATAAGGAACAG